CCCCCCCCCCCCCCTTTTAAAAAAATGAATTTTGGTATCAATAAAATTGAAATACATTTTGATTTGGGCTTATTTATTTTAATAGCAAACAATTTTGGGAAAAACATTTTATTTGCATCTTTCGCTTGTTAATAAACGGCCAAGTTATAAATCATCGATGACAAATTGAGCCCTTCAAACACCCCCCCCCCCCTTTTAAGCAATGCAGAAAATGTCAGCTAAGACAACTCTATAGACTTAGACGATGGTCATTTTGACTATAGACCTAAAAGATCTACCAGTTCAGGTCTCATTTCAATCAATCTTTATCCGGCCAAAAAAGGATCATAATTTTTTATAATAAAAAATGATGATTTTAAGATTTAATTCTTTGTGTTTTCATTCTATGAAGCTTTAGTTTGGTAGCCTAAATATTATGTTTGAAAATGTCATTTTCAATTATTGTTTTTGCTATAGTAGTAACCAAAAGGTACCATGAAATAGAGACATAAAAATGTCATTGATCAAATTTGAGTGAGTTGGTGTTGCGTGAATTTACTATTGCCTATTTCTATCATTATTTCTTATACTAAAACACTGTTATCCCTCATACAAACATCAAAATCAAATGATATGAACAAAAAAATACATGACGATGATAAGAGAAGAACAAACATATGAAGCAATTAAAATTAGAAACCAGACTTTTGAAAATGTAAATCAATTCAACTACCTATGATCTTTAATAAATGAAAGAAACGAATTACTAACAGAAATAAAAGAAATAATTTCAGCCGGAAACAGGGCATACTTCAGTAGTGGGAAAATACTCAAAAGTAAAAAAAAAACATTACAAGAGAAACAAAGAAAACTATTTATAAAAATGTAATCAGACAAGTTGTAATATATGCAAGTGAAACTTGGACCTTAACAAAAATGGCAGAAAACCTACTAAACACATGGGAGAGGAAAGTTCTCAGAAAAATATAAGGACAAAAAAAAAGAATAAATATGGATGGAGAATACGAACCAACCATGAATTTTACAGTCTATATCAGGATCCAAAGATAGTAGCTGAAAAAAAGGGGCAGGCTACGCTGGGCAGGACACCTAGAGAGAATGCCAAATGACAGAGGAACGAAGAGGGGGCATCACCAATAACTCAGAGGAAAAAGGCTTAAAGGCAGAGCTAGGCTAAGATGGATGGATGATGTGGATAAAGATCTTCAACAACTGAAAATCCAAGCATGGAAAGAAAAACATTAGTTAAATCTGCGGGGAAGAAAGTAGTGAGGCAGGCCAAAGCCCAACATGGGTTGTAGCGCCACATGGAAGGATGGATATGAAACCACCCCAAAAAATTATTTTCCGGATGTTTGTCAAGAAGTATTCGAAAGTATAGGAATTATATTAACCAATGCGCTTTCTCATTGCGCCAGATTTTAATAACATTTGAAATTAACTCTAGAAGACAGTAATGTTTGCATTGGTGCCAATTTGTTTCAAGAAGGTGATCACTTTGTATATCATCCTTTATGTGATTTTTTCCCCTATGAAATTTAATAACAATCTGCAGAATTATTTTCCATCGTATTAAAGTAATGCTTAGGATTAATTCTTACCTTGAAACAACTTTACGCTTATGTAACGTGTTCATTGTATCTAGTCCATGTTTTGCTGAACACTATCCCTTAAAATATTTGAACACGATTTTCTCCAAACGTTAATGGAGGTTA